ACGGATTCCCTGTGCCACTTCTCATCTTCTTTGATCCTTTCGGCTTTTGGGTGGATGAGCGGACCATTCAGAAGCACTAAAACACCTTGTTCCTCTGTAAAAGCAACTCACAGTGTGAACTTAATGCAGTCCAGAGGAGGACGGGCTCCCCCCTGCTTCTGCTTCCTCCCCAGATTTCTTCCTCACCTCTGTCACCTCAGGCGTACTCTCTGGGGAGCTCAAATTTGTGCTTTGTGACAATGCTTCTTCTTTAAACCACCATATAAATGAAATTAAACTGAATAGTCACTGAGCAGGAGCGAGATCCAGGCATGTAAAAAGGTTTAAGGTTAACCGATGCTTACGGTTGGCATTGATCCCTGAACGGGAGCTAGAGAACAGATATATCAAAGCGGGCACAGACCTTACTGCAGGCTTGCAGTTGTTGAAGCGCAAGTTACACGCTCTACCTCACCTACCTGAGCTCACTTGAAGCATTTCTCCTCCTCCTGTTTAAATATATGCTGTTTTTATAAAGTCTGGCAGGCGAAGCACCTCCTGGCAAGTCTGTAAAACAGCGCTTTCTCTAAACGCTCACATGACCCCTTGGACCACTCCTCTTTGAAGTTTTAATTATGCTGCTTGTGAGCGAACACAGCCCTGCCTCGCTGTGGCTCAGAAGGGGCAAACCCATCTTCACACGTCGCTCAATTACCTAGCTAAGAATTAGAGAAAGTTGTGCGGTGGAACTTACTGGAACAAGGAACTTCTTGATCTCCTCCAAGGCATGGCTCATGCGGGAGTAGGCTTCCCCGGGCGGGGCAAACACCTCGATGAGAACGTGCAGGTCATTGCTCAGGTGAGCGTATTTGGCCTCACCGCTCTTCCTCAGCTCCTCCTCCTGTGAGGAAGAACAAGTTCAGAAGGTCGTGTTAGTTGTCACTAATGTGTTGGCAATGTCCCAGAAGCCTCAAGATGGACCTGCAGTGAGAGGGACTCGGCGAGCAGTGAGGCTTGTTAACCAGTCGTCTCGCTTCAACCAGCTTGTTTATATGTAATTTGTAAACAAGCCAGATACAGCCAGCCACAAGTATGACCCAATCAGAGCATGACTCTACATCACTAGGTATTCAATTGGCCAAAAAACTCACATAAACATCATTATGCTCATCGTGGAGCCGGCAGGGTGCATGAGCTTCTCATTGCTACATGACGATCATCCAGGTACTGTTGAGGACCACTCCAGCAATAACACTTCTTCCCTGCTCTGATTCAACCCATTGCAGAGTACCAGTCACCCTTCTGATTGCCGAAGGTCGTCACTAATTGATCTCTGGATTGGCGGTAATTGCAGTTAGCGGCACAGCTTTCCATGCTGATTACTGTACAGTATGTGCGACCTCGTGCTCGTGGGCTGGATGGCTTTCACGAGAATAACTCTTCATCCTGACTTAATCAGTGGTGGGGCTGGTCTCTCCTCCACTAACAAATACCTTTCCATTCCCCCTCTGAAGTGAGTAGCTCTGACCTGCAAGAACCTCTGCAGAGGGCCTAATTTGTATCAAGGTTAGGAAGCACTCCTGTAATCACCACATTGTGATGGCCGCCCCCAAGAGGACTCTGCGGTTGAGGATGATGGGCCGAAGGGGCTTCTCCAATCACGCCTACTATAAATAATCATTCTCACACTTCTATAATTGTGTTTTCAAGGTGGATAATGGATCTCTACCGACAGGCTTCACAGATTCAGAGCCTTTCCAGTCACACTACTGAAATCTCCTCTCACTTTGATTAGAAACTAAGACAAGCTACTTGGGGACACTGGGTGAAAAAAGGATAAGTGCTTTTTGACCTCGACATTTGCACATTGAGGCAATTACCCACGTACAGGATGTGACTTTTAAGCCTTATGCTTTCAATTAAGTGGCTCTTTGAAGGTGAAGTTGTTTCATCCAGGAGGAAGATGTCTCTAGTATGGATTAGCATGTTACATAGAATATAAAAGCTGGGCATTATGAAAGCTCATCAAAAAGGCAGCAGCTATGAAGGAGGTCCCTGTGAGTTTTTGGTTAAGCTGCTCATTTGGAGAACAACGTTAGGTTCCTCTTCTTCTTCTTCAGATTGCATCACTTCTAAAGATGCATCCTTATTCTCTTAAGTGACCTCTACTCACATCGTTATGTCCCTTCACCACACTCTACAGACACACCATTAGCAGTTGAGGGCACTCTGAAAGCCAGCCAATCAGCACTCTTTGGGGGGTCCAAGCAACTATCCCACCTGAGGAGGCTTTGGAATTTCCTCAATGGTGTTAAGGGTGTTTGTGAGGAGATGATCTCAAGGCTCCATAACAAATCTCTCCCAGCGCAGGGACCCACTCAGTAGCAAGGGTTCCCCAGTATCATTTCTGAGTGTTTAAAGTCTCCTTTAGTGTCAAAACGCTCCATTGTCTTTTATGGGTGGATTTCAAAAGTTCAAAGCGATCCTTTTAGAGAACGACAGAATGACAACTCTTAAGGAGAGGCTTCCCTGTGTTGACACTGTATATACAAACAGAGATGGCCATTATTAACTATAGCACCCCCCAGTGGTATCTACAGTTAATATCAGCAAATTCATGGGCGTCAGTGAGAATATTTAAAGGCTTCAAGAGCCAAGACTGTCCGACTGATCTGTTTCGATACACAAGTGTTAAGGTGCCAGACTAATTTGATCTGCTTAAGATTCTCGTTTATTGACAGATCAGCAAGAGCTATTTGTTGTGTGGCTATGTAATTGGTTTTTGCATACATTCGCATAGATCTGGATAAAAAAAAACTGGGGATGTTAAGAGTGGCTGAGCCAGGAAACACATCACTTATTTTCCTGCTGTGCCATGGTGACCCAGTTTAGGGAACAGCAATGAGCCCCATCTCCCAGACTGGATGGTGTGACAGAGACCCAGCTGCTTACGGGGTGTGATGTGACTCCATCAGCCCTGTTTTCACCAGTATTTAGGACATCTCACTTCCACAAATCCTTCTTAATGATGAATGCACAATTGGCCCACCACCAACAAACAGTGTCCCTGTAAAACACATTCCCCATGTTCAAACAGTGTCTCTGTAAGACATGTTCCCCGCGTTCTAAGAGGGTCCCTGTAAGACACGTTCCACATGTTCAGTGTCCCTGTAAGATTTGTTCCCCATATTCAAACCGTGTCCCTGTAAGACACATATTCAAACAATGTCTGCCGTTGACAGCCAGATACACATTCCCTCTGTGTGGGAACATATACTTGGCCAGTAAATTTGATTCTGAATATGGCTGTCCCTTTAAAATATGAACCAGAAGGTAAAACTATATTGTCAAACTCACTTTGGCAGTATAATGTACCAAGTATTCTGTTAGCATCATACAGAAAAAGCTCATTAAAATATAGGAAACATGTCGGGAACAGTTGGAAAATTTGGGCTGTGGGATCTGTGAAGTATTTACACCAGATCCATGTTTTTCTCCTTACCGCTCTGATACCAGGGCTGTCTCTGTGCTGGGTCTGGAATGATAACGCACACAAATGGGTTAATCAAGAACAGCGTCTGTACCATGATGACCAGGATGAGCGAGCCAGTGACACAGTGACCAGGATGAATGAGTCATTGAGCTTTAAGATGTAATCCTCACTCCATCACCCAAACATCCACGTATATGCGGTTAAACAATGCAGCATCAGTATTTATACTGGATTTAAGATTTTCCCTTCACTGTTTAAAACCGCAGCTTGATTAAGATCTTCAGTTGCTTTTTATTGTAATCCTTCAGACTCGTTACACCAAGGCATCATCTATAAGAGCGGCAGACAAGACTGGATCTGATGAAGATGTATGACACACTCAGCAAGTTTGCAGCTCATTTTTTACTTCAAATATTTTTCCTTAATTTCCCCAAGTTCAGAACGGCCAGTTACCCTCTCCCAGCATCCCAGTTTACAGGACATCTACACCACGTCCACCAGAGCAACAATTAATGAGAGACCGACCCAGCCATCCAATACCCACAGAGGAACATAGGCTAATTTAGCATTCAGATAATGTAGTACAGGGGGATCGAACCCGGATCGCTGTTTCAGGGTATGCTTTCAGTCGGCTGGGGTGCCACAGGGGAAGCATCTGATCTACAGCACATTTCAGAGTTATTTACCTTACAGCTAAACTCTGTAAAAGCTTAATGGCATGGGGCTAGACTGTAGCTCGCTAAGTAAACTTGAGGGCTGCGTGAAGACCCCAGCGACGACGATGTTAGCGACGCTGTTTCCCGATGACGCCCTGACTGACAAGATGGGCCAACGCTAATTACACATTCCTGAGACACGGCGTCGCTCTCTTGGTAGAAATCAATCTGAATTCATTACAGGACTTAACGAGAGCCACTTGGACTGCCTGAAACCCCAGTGCTAATTACCGATTCTCATGTACGCAAACCTGTGCGGTCACCTTGGTCCGTGGACACACCGCCTGCGTAAGGTCTTGCCATTAAATTACCTCATAACACGCGATTAAACAGGCTGTGACAATCCACACGTCCCTCAGTGATGCCCGGAAACATCCGCAAAGCCGCCTCACGCACCGTCTGTGTGGCCATAGCCAGTCGTTTTATTAACGTAATCGAGTCCTGAAGCACTCCTCTCTAAAGCTAATGTCTGCACACAAATACCTACCAGGAATCAGAACAACCCAGAACAGACTAGCACACACTGCTAGGGAGGATTAAGGATTAAGGATTTTTCACAGATGAGATTTATAATCTAATTTTGTGTCAAACTATGTGTGACACTCATGCGAGATGCGATATATCCCCCCTAAGTGAATAAATAAGCAGGCATCAAGAAATAGGGCTTCGGCCACTACTGCACTGTGGTGGTTTAAAGCCCAACAGAAGAGTGCGGTGAGGCTTTGAGTCAGTCGGTCATAGATGCGTCTGTTTTGGCTGCAGGTTCTGGCAAACACCAGGGTAAGGACCCCAGCAGAGAGCCGCCACATGTGTGGCCTTTCCATGGGCCACAGGACAAAACAACACAAGCAGGTTTCCAGCTGTTCTGTAATTTTCCAGCAAACCTCTGGCTGACACACCGAGGCCATTGTCAGGGATAAAGAGTGTGTGACGCTAAAAGCACGTCTGAGCCGTCAAGCCGTCCGCTGTGACCTTTCCATGACCCTTTTAGTCCTTTGGCTGGGCATTGCTTTGTTGTTCTAGATAGTCATTTTCCCTCTTAAACATGAGAGACCCCCTGACTTTGCTGGGACGAGGGGGCAAGCCTGTCATTTTCTTGGCAGTTTAGAATCCTCAAGCTCTGTGGGATACTGGCGGGGTGACCATGGCGATGCTACCGTGTTCCTCTTTCAGGCACACACTTTAGGGCCAGGCATGTTCATGTGTGATAGGGGGGGGGAGGCTGCATCTATCCTTCCGGCTTATCTCTTCTGCCAGGAGGGATGGGAAGGGGGCGAGGGGGCGGGCCATGTTTACGAAAGATAACCGAACATAAAATAGCTTAATAAAAGCAGGCTGTATGATGAAGAAGTGCCGGCATCAGCCTGCGAGAGGCGCTCTCCATCGGCGTCCTTTTGCTTTTCTAATATTGTCGGTGTAAATAAGTTGAGTATTCATGTTGACAGGAAGCGATACAACAATCGACGTGGAAAAAGCAGAGACAAGGTCAGCTCTTTGGAGCAGGCTAAAGTTATTACCTAATAACTCTGTTCCTGAGGAGCCCCCTCCCTGCTGTAACAGTGACCCCTCCCCTTGTTTTATCACCCGCCGCTGTTTTATTTTAATGCACCGACTCCCTGCATAAATCTCCCATCAGAATAATTTAGCGCCAAATGGAGTCGTGCTTTGGGGCTTAGCCTTCTCTTAGTGCCACTGGCTGCTCTCAAATACTCGTCCTGCTTCTGGGGTTAATGAAAGCCACTTCACCACTGGGACGTTGTTAATGGTTTACGGGAATTAACGGGGCCCTCCGCTTGGCGCTTCAGTCCTCACAGTTTGAGTCAAAAGTGAGTATTTCTGTCAGCTTGTCTCATGACCCAGCGACACGCCATGTGATTTTATTATAGGTCACATGATCAGAATGCAGGGTCGCCTGCTATTGGGTGACGTACTGCCCTGCTTCTAAAGTTAAGATAAAACTTTGTTTACCCCAGGGGACAATGATGCTATGTACAGCAGCAAGGTACATAAAGTTCAGACAAACGTATAGTGCGAAACAAGGCAAAGTGCAAAGACAGAAAAAATATTCTGAAAAGGACGATCAAGGAAGTACATGAGTAAAAATAAAAATAAAAATAAATGAACTGACGACATTTTCTGAGATGTTATGGCTTGGGGGGGGGGCGTGTTTATTCTTCCCTTCCCCTTCATCCCAACACTAGTGTTTGTTTGGACTTTATGTAGCTGTACACTCTGCTGCATTTGCATTGACTGATGGCGTCTTACTGTAATGTTTCTTTCATTGTTTTGCGATTTTGCAGATTACATAGCAGTGTTCCAGAGTCTCAGGTGAAGTACCCTGTTCTCCTGATGAGACTTCAACCTTATGAAGCCAGCTCCTTAACAACCATGCCATCTAATGGCAGGAGAGTTTTCTTTGTCTTTTCTTTTTTATGAAATTTGTGCTTCCCCTCGAGCACTCTGGTTGATGTTATTAGGTGTTATAGGGTTCGGGTTGGGTATAGATGTTATATACTCAAGTGCTGGCAGTCCAAATCAGGATCTGACAGTAACAGAGAATAATACCACACTTTGTCCCCAGATCCAATAATGGTACAGTGACAGTAATCAAAGCTGGCCTCACTCCAGGGCCCCGTTGTTCTAACATGACCCCAACAGCAGAAGTTGCCACATTGGGTAAAGCCATGAAAATCTCTGGGCTTTATAAGGAATTTCCTCATTCACCACCAAGTGAAAAAGTGTGCTCAATGGAACTGAGACGACCCACAATCCCACAGGCTGCTGAGAGGCGATAGTGTGGTCCGTGGTGGTGGTGGGGTGTAGAAAAGAGATACAGCATTTGGGGCCCTGACCATCACATATGTAGATGGGGATACAGGACATGGTGGACGGGGATACAGGACAACGCGGATGGCGATGCAAGACACA